ATAGATAGATAGATAGATAGATAGATAGATAGTAGATAGATAGATAGATAGATAGATAGATAGATAGATAGATAGATAGATAGATAGATAGATAGATAGATAGATAGATAGATAGATAGATAGATAGATAGATAGATAGATAGATAGATAGATAGATAGATAGATAGATAGATAGATAGATAGATAGATAGATAGATAGATAGATAGATAGATAGATAGATAGATAGATAGATAGATAGATAGATAGATAGATAGATAGATAGATAGATAGATAGATAGATAGATAGATAGATAGATAGATAGATAGATAGATAGATAGATAGATAGATAGATAGATAGATAGATAGATAGATAGATAGATAGATAGATAGATAGATAGATAGATAGATAGATAGATAGATAGATAGATAGATAGATAGATAGATAGATAGATAGATAGATAGATAGATAGATAGATAGATAGATAGATAGATAGATAGATAGATAGATAGATAGATAGATAGATAGATAGATAGATAGATAGATAGATAGATAGATAGATAGATAGATAGATAGATAGATAGATAGATAGATAGATAGATAGATAGATAGATAGATAGATAGATAGATAGATAGATAGATAGATAGATAGATAGATAGATAGATAGATAGATAGATAGATAGATAGATAGATAGATAGATAGATAGATAGATAGATAGATAGATAGATAGATAGATAGATAGATAGATAGATAGATAGATAGATAGATAGATAGATAGATAGATAGTAGATAGATAGATAGATAGATAGATAGATAGATAGATAGATAGATAGATAGATAGATAGATAGATAGATAGATAGATAGATAGATAGATAGATAGATAGATAGATAGATAGATAGATAGATAGATAGATAGATAGATAGATAGATAGATAGATAGATAGATAGATAGATAGATAGATAGATAGATAGATAGATAGATAGATAGATAGATAGATAGATAGATAGATAGATAGATAGATAGATAGATAGATAGATAGATAGATAGATAGATAGATAGATAGATAGATAGATAGATAGATAGATAGATAGATAGATAGATAGATAGATAGATAGATAGATAGATAGATAGATAGATAGATAGATAGATAGATAGATAGATAGATAGATAGATAGATAGATAGATAGATAGATAGATAGATAGATAGATAGATAGATAGATAGATAGATAGATAGATAGATAGATAGATAGATAGATAGATAGATAGATAGATAGATAGATAGATAGATAGATAGATAGATAGATAGATAGATAGATAGATAGATAGAGAGATAGAAGATAGTAGATAGATAGATAGATAGATAGATAGATAGATAGATAGATAGAT